GGATGACTGACAGGCTGGCGTTGCATTTGCATAAGTTGCAGTTAAAGTTGGCATTGCGTGGCCAGGATTCCAGTTCAATGCACGCGCCTTTTTGTGCCGCTGCAGCCGCATTATTAGCATTTTTTGTACTTTTTTTTCTTCTCCCATTTGGTTCACCCACCACCAACTCGGCAAATGGCCACAAAAATAGCGCACTTCAGACCCAGCCCAACTCCCATTGCCGCGCTGGTTGTTGTCAACGTGTTTTCCCATTTTCCTGCCCGGTTTTTGTGGCAACCACATTGTGGCACGTATGCAAAAGCTGGGGCCAGGCCACGTAATTCACACGTTGGCCCAAACAAGCTGGTTAACTGGTTAGCTCTCATTGTTTTCATATTTGGGAGAGAAACTGCCGTCTCGGCGCAGCAGCTCTGCCCTGGTAAAACGTCAATTATAAAGCAATTAATAACCCAGAGAATTCCTCAAAGCAACAAAATATTTATGTATTTTCCAGGGCGGTGCGTTGTGCAACGGCATAACTTACAAGACGACGCTGCTGCTCCAGCTACTTGAGTTATTAAACGCATTATCATAAATACAATTGACAACTTATGACTAATGATAAGCTGGCATGCAACGCTGATCCAGGGGGCCTGCAAATAAAGTGTTAATAATATAGATGGCAGCGGCAGTGCAGTTTGCGCTTAATAATGCAGCCTGCCTCTGTCAGTCACTCACTCGGCCATTCCGTCAGTCAGTCAGTTAGTCATTCAGTTAGTCAGTCAGTCTGCCAGTTAGCCAGTCCTTCGGGCACTCTTCCAGTCATTCAGTCAGTCACTAGGAGTCACGCAACTGCAGAAAGCAAAGAAATAATTAAAACAAACAAGCGCGCAAAATGCTAAGCAGTCGAGAGACCCAAGTTTCAGCTTCAATTTCAGCTTCAACTTTAGCTACTGTTGGAGGTGCACCGAGAAAAATAGTTCAGCACACTGTACAAAAATGTTTGCAATACTTTGCCTTCATTTTTAGTTCAAGAATTAACTAGCAGACATATCGAAATATAAAGTGTATTTGTCCAAGTTTTGACCTATTTTCTAAAGGCTTGCAAAAAAGTTCACAAATCACTATAAAAGTTTTTATCTTATGATGGTAAAACTTAAGCTTTATAAACAATAATTTAGCTAACATATTTGATAGAATTTGATTTAAATTTTCTGTTTTTACATAGGGTATTAGTTAAATTAGGAAATATGTTTTAAGACTCCTTTTTGGTATCACTTTTTCATGAAAAGTCATCTAAAGAAGTGGTTTATTTTCCCTGTGCACATCTATAACTATCAAGGTGTCTTCGAGCGGCTAAAACTGACCTACCTGCTGAGCTCTCGATCTCGCTGGCGGTGGTGGCTCAAACTGGAATCCGTTATAGTTTATGGCCCGTTGCTGGTTGCCGCTTGTTGTTGCTGTTGTTGCTGTTGTTGCTGTTTCTGCTGCTGCTGCCACCGCTGCATGCTTAAACAATTTCCAATTTTGGAGCAGGTGTAACAGCGAGCCGCCGAGAGACACTTGACCGCATTTTGGAGCCACGCGCCTACAACAGCAACATCACATCAAATCGCCCGTTCGAGCAGGTGAAAAGAAAAGTCCTTGTTCCTTGAGGGTAGCTCTGGCTATAAATTAAGCCACCGCCTGCAGACGTTGTGCCATGGAGGGGTCAGGAAGGATTCCCTCGTCCTCGTCCTCGTCCTTTCGCATGATTGATTGTTGGCCCTCGCTGGCAGGAAGCAGCTGAATCAGCTGAATCAACTGAATCAACTGAATCAACTCGGGTGAATCCACTAATCGACCAGCACTGACATCTCACATAAGTTCCTTGGAAAACGGTTAAAGAGTCTCGTTTCACTCATTTGCGGATTTGATTTCCATCGATTGATAACAGCGCCCAGCATCTCGCACCCCTAATCCAATCCTTTTGCCTCGATGGTGTGAATTTAATTTACCAGAGCGAGAGAAAGAGCTGAAAATCCTTTTTTGGCCTTATCAAGATGGGTTTCGCCACCCTGCTTTTGCTTTTGCTATGCTTTGCTTTGTTTGTCCTTTTACATTGAAATTCAAATGATGCGAGCTGGTCGAGATGGCCGAGAAATGATAACTTGGCCGGCAGCTGATGCATTTTACTAATTGAAGCCATTTCATCTCTGGTTTTTTTTTACGGAGTCCCGGTTGCAGGGGACTTCACCTGTTTGACTGTCATCTTCAAATGTCCAACACGTCCGGCTAAGTGCACACAGAAACCGGCCTACGTATGTATATACCTATATATATAGCCGTACTTGTACATTAATTATGTCATTCACGTCGTCGTCAAGCGTCAGCTTCGATTGCAATTAAAAGGCGCTTTAAGCCGGGTTTTTGGATTCTGTTTTCGGTTGTTTGGGCCTGGCTTAGATGGACAGGCGCTGAGAGCGTTGAGCGCTGTCAAACGCTTTTAAAACGCCATAGAAATGTCCAAGTTAACAGAGAGCCAGGAGAACTGGCTAAAAGAGAGCGGCGGCTTTTAGTGCTTTGATCTGTCAGTTTGAAGAAATCAAGCGCAGGCCAAAAGCTTCAAAATGTTGTTTCTTAACCGCTTTTGTTGTTGCTGTGTAGAACGTGTCAGCCTGGCTTGCCTTTTTTTTTTTTTGGTTTTTGTTTACTTTATTTTTTTTACTTTATTTTTTTTTGGCCTGGAGACGAGCAAGGGCAGCGTTTTTCCACCAGCACGAGCTTTGCATACCGCCAGCAACAACAATAACAAAACCATCAGCAGCAGCAAAAAAATGTCGTTCTTTTTGTTTCAAGTTTGCAACTTTAATTGCTGTGTACTCAGCTTGATTTATTAGCGAATTGTTTTATACGACCAGCAGCAGCTAAGAAAAAAAACGAGTAAAAAAACGAGTAAAAAAGTGAGTCATATATATACATACATCGGGATTAACATTAACAGCCCGTTGATATCGCCAACACCATCGGCTGGCAAATTGAAAGTTTCGCCATGCCAATTAAAGAACGCATCGGACATTGATTTGGCAACGGGCTGAAAGATGCAACCGTCCGACTATATAATTTAGCATGACCAATGGTATTATTTCCCCCGATCCCAGTAAATTACATATACCCGATCCGATGACGACTTCATATATATGGGGGATCTTTTCAGTGGTTTTGTCGTTGGCGCAAAAGTGTGAAGTCTGCACGGCAGATCGTGAAAAGCAATAACCACATTTGATTGAGGCATTGCACTGGGAAAAGTCTTCCCAAGCTGTGATCCCGATCCCTGTTGCAGGTTCTCCAGTGGTGGAGGCTCCTGCTTCTGATGCTGCTGCAGCAGCTAATTTCTATAATCAGGCACACGTACATATAATATCGCCACTAAAGCACTGTTATTAGGATAATCAAATGGATATTATCGCAGCCAGCGATCCGGTCAAAGCAGCGATCCCAACGATCCATCGATCGTGTTTGGCTTTTTCTATTTACTGGCGGCTGAATACTCTTATTTTAGTTTGAAAAATGATTGCTCTTCTTGGAAAAATAATCGGAAATGAAGATTGAGTAGTTAAAACAGGGATTAAGTGCCATAATATTCAATAATATGTGCCTTAAAATTTATGCTATTCTATAGTAGTTGGTTCTTGTGTCCATTTATTGCATAATTGAGTGTTGGAAACCAACGTACAATAATGTTAGTAATTAAATAAGCAGAATTTAGTAATTTAATATCATGCTAAATAAAAAGCAGAAAATATAGTTAACTAACTTAGATAATCTTTAGGATTATACATCTCTTAATGGGTTGCCTTAGAGTATTTCAAATTCTACTAAACATCCTCTAGTCAAAGTCCCCTCTACACTATTCCTTTCTGACTCTTGTCTTGATTTGGCCTAATCCATCTCGGCGTGCAATGAACTGACCTACTGTTGGCCAACCAGCTTCAACTGCTGTTTCTCCTGTTGATGTTGCTGCCGTAGCTGTTGCTGCTGCTGCTGTTGCTGCTGCTGCTGCATAATCAAAAATAATTTCACATACAAACAAGCCCCGAGGGCCAGCGACTTGCGACTCTTTGGGGAGCTGCAGCCAATATTAATGATAATAATAAGAATAAGTGCGCCCCAAACAATTGCAACGTGCCTGCCCCCTTTGGTAATACCCCGAACCCAGTCCCGATTCCGATCCCCATCCCGATCCCAATGCCAATCCCGAAGCAAACTCGAAAAACACCCGCTGCGAGGATATGGGGATCTGTCGGATCCGTCGATCGCTGGGGATCGACTGGAGTCGCTGTGGATAGGATCGATGTAGTAACCGGCAGCATTGGCGCACATAAATCTCACTTGGTGTCTGCTAAATTATACACTGCCAGACATTTAGGCTACACTTTTAGCCCCGGCACAAAAGCCGAGGTGAGTCGGCCCGAGCCGTTGATCGATCTTTTTAGCTCTGGGACAAAAGTTTAACGCGATTGTTTATGATACAAATTAAACAATTTATGACAATGCAGAAGTCCCAGTCGCAGTCGCTCTCCCAGTCTCCCAGCTCCTTTATCCCCTCCTTCATTCCTTTTTTAGCCAGCTCTATGGTCTTGGCCATATGCAAAGTTGGCCCGAAGGCCGCGAGCAATGAATGGTGGTTCCACGGTGGTTGAGTGTTGCACCGGTGGTCAGAGGTTCTGAGGCGGCGGCTCTTTCTCTCTTTTTGCTGGCTGGTGTTTCATAAATTATAACGCAGCTTTTCCGCAAATTTGCGCGGCAGCCACAGAGGAAAATAAGAACAACAACTGCCAGCAAGCAAAAAACCAAAAAAAAAACAACGTCATTTATTACGAATTTTGATCGCTTCTGGTGGCGGCTTAGTCGGTTAATCTTCGTTATAAATTTGGGCCATAATTGATTTAATGCAGCATTTAACTTGATGCGACTCGCAGCGAGAGTTTATTAAATTCTTGCCTCATTTTCTGATTTCTGTTTTTTTTGATTTCTTGCAGCATCCCGCATGCCCTCCACACATGCCACGCCCCAAGTGTGCCGGCCGCACTTCCACACCCCGCTGAGTCCCTGGCTGACCAGCGAGCACAAGTCCTTCGCCCCCGCGAGTGCCTGGAGCATGGGCCAGTTCGCCTGCCCCCAGGAGCCGCAGGTGGAGCACAAGCTGGGCCAGATGGGCCAGAGCCACCAGACGACGGCCGCCGGCCAGCACTCGTTCCCCTTCCCGCCGACGCCGCCAAAGGACTCCACGCCCGACTCCGTGCAAACCGGTCCATCCGAGTATCAGGTGAGTGCATCCCAGGGATTCACCTTACAATTAGTTTGGGACAGGAGCAGTTAGTTGCCAATAAGTTACCCAAACTATATTACATATTCCACCATCTTAAAGTTTTGTAATCATTTTAAACGCTTTGCTTGCCAATGTGCAGGAATCGATAGTCAAAATCAGAGCTACTTTCTAACTTGTAATCGATTCAATTGTATAACTCAATAAGAAATACAACTCAAATGCATAATTTTATTTATAAGTAAATAACACAAAGCCATCATAAACCCATATGAATAATTTAAATTCATTATTTTAATGGATCGATAACAATAAAGACAATTCAAGATGTTGATAAACCAAATAATCGAATCCTAATGACTTTTCTGAAATGCTTACTAATTGAGGGTATAAAATGTAAACCAGAAATTTAAATTATTTGGCATTTGAGCAGTTTAACGAGCATTCAGGTTTCACAAAGCGCTTAAGCCACCTTAATCCTCTGGACTAACGAGTATTCCCGATCTTTTGCAGGCGGTGATGAACGCGTTCATGCACCAGCAGGCCACGGGCTCTACCTCACTGACGGACGCCAGCTGTGCGCTGGACATCAAGCCGTCGATCCAGAACGGCAGTGCGAGCGGATCCTCCGGCAGCGGCACCACCCACACGTCGGCGCCCAAGCAGCGCGAAGGTACTACCAGCACCACTAATTCCAGCTCCAACTCCAGCAGCAGTCAGCAGCAGCAGCAGCAACAGCAGCAACAGCAGCAGCAGCAACAGAGCAGCAGCAACAGCAACACCACCGCCAGCAGCAACACCTCCGCCTCGTCCGCCGCAGCAGCAGCATCCCTGTCCGCCGCCGCTGCCGCCGCCTCCGCAGCCACATCCTCAAACGGACTGTTCGACGGAACGGCGCAGGCGTACAGCAGCGGGGGAGCGGCGGCGGGGGCGGTGGAGGCGGCAGCGGTGGCTACGACAGCTCGTACGCCTCGTACCACCATGCAGCGGCGCACCATCAAGCGGCGGCGGTAGCGGCGGCGAATATGTTCCAAAGTTCCTCGGTCGCGGCGGCTGCAGTGCGTCATAGTATGGCGGCGGCGCAGGCGCACCACCATCACCATCACCACCACAGTGGCCACCATCATGGTGGCGCCTCCGCGGGCATGCACGGCCTGGGCGGCGCGGTGGGCGGTGGCGGTGGGGGCGGCACCGCCGGCATGGGCAGCATGAGCGGCGGCAGCGGCGGAGCGGGATCGCTGAGCGGGCACAGCGGCGGCAGTAACGCCGGCCTGGACGTCAAGCCCGTGCGGACAAAGCCGCGGACAAGTGCTGGTAAGCAAGACAAAAGCTTATAGACATTATGCGATCTCGGTGTGGGTGAATAATCATTGTTACTCGCCATCGATTGTTTAACCATTCGATTATGTTTACGTCAGTGTTGTGTGCAATGAGACTGTTCACAAAGGCTTACTAACAACTTAATTATAATAACTATTTACTGAAAGCTTTGAAATTATTGAACAATGAATTGTAAAATTATTAATTAATATTAGGGACAACGTATTGAAAGACCCTTAAATTAAAGTATTACAGATATTAAAGCATTTTTAAATTTTACTTCCTAAATAAATAAATAAATATTTGATTTGAAGCAAAGGCATAATATCTAAACGTCATAAAAAAACTTTTATAAGCTCCTCAAGAATTTTTATAAATGCAGTAAAGAAGCTCTTTAATTTTCCTAAACAAAATGCCTCGATAAGGAGGTGTTTAATTTTTGTATAATCCGAAGATAACTCCTTTGTAAGCAGTCTCAAATGGAACCACTTATTGTTTAGTTTTCACTTTAGTTTGTAGTTATCATTTTGAAAACCCCCGTTGCCCTGCCAACACCCCCCACCCCCGCTTACTTTGATTGCCATTGCTCTTTCACACGCTCACGTGGGAAGTCCAAACCGAATCCGACTCCGACTCCGAACTCCCAACTCCTCATCACTTAACTCCTGCTCTGGTAAAAGGGGGAAGCCCCTATCCCCAACCAACGAGCTACTCCAGCACTTGACATGTGCTCGGGAGCAGCATGCTGGCCACATTCCCGCCACTTGAGCATGTTTCCTGCCTTCGCTGGCCGCGTAAAAATATGCAGAAAGATCCCAGGGCAAGGGCCCATCCTCTGCCTCCTCGCCCTCCAACTCCGCCGTTGCGTATACGCGGTGTATTCGCGTTGCCATGAAATCAGCACATTACAATGACAACAACGGCAACAACAATAGCTGCAACTGCGGCAGCAACTTCAATGCTATTGTCAACGCTTTGCTCGGCTCCACTGGCTCATGATGTTGCTGCTGCTGTTGTGGTTGTTAATTACTTCATGTTGCTGCCGCTGCTGTTTGAAAAGACCTACCACACAAACAAGCGCATACGAGCACATATTCATTCGCATTCGCTGCGGAAGTTGCAGGCTGCTGCACCTGCTTTAGCGTTGCGTTTTTGCATGGCCTGACAGCAACAGCAACAACAGCAGCAGCAACAACAACAACGACAGCAGCAACAACGACATCTTTATAGCTGCCACTTGGGCCGTGCGTGAGGGTCGGTCTGCTGCCACAGCCAACCCCCAAAAACAAGCAGCAAAACCAGCTAAGGCAAACCAGCTGGCAAAGGCACACAACAGCAACATTAGTCACAGCAGCAATATTAGCCGTAGTAGCAATATTAGCCACAGCAACAACTCTGTTACCTTCCGACTAAATTCTGCTAAGGGAAAAATATGTGAGCCAGCCATCTGCAACATTTCTGCATAGCAGCAAAAATTTACTGAAAAATTCATACATTTTTCTATTATGGGGAAGTAAAAATAATTTAAATAGCTAGCAATATTAGTGTCACTAGCCATATTCAACAAGGCTGCATCTGCAATACCTTTAATCTTAGTACAGGGAAAAAACTGCATCAGCAACATGGTAGCAACATAGTAGCACCCTGAAAAGAATCAGCTACAAGAACTATTCTTTTAATTTCCAACCAATCTCTTTTGTGTGGAAATATAATAAATAGAAGTCGAGAGCTCCAGTATAAGTTGTCCAACAGCAACCTTTGCCACAAGAGCAACATTCTGGCACAGCAGCAACATATAAAGCACGGCAGCAACACCATCTGTTAACGCCGTCTAACCTCTGTTAAGGGCAAATTGTTAGGCACTTGCCGCGCACTTTTCGCACCACTGCAATTGTTCGTTTGTTACAACACAAAGAGCACACCTTGCTTTCCAGCTGCACCCACCGAATGCAAATAGATTCGTAACCCCATATGAGCCATATAATCATGACTGTATAACAGCCACAAATGAGGAAGCAGCTCCGCGAAAAATAAAGAAGAAAAAAATATATACATGAAGAGGGAGAAGTCGCCTGACAAAACGCTTGCAGATTTTATTTTATTTCATTCTCTTGGCCCGGCGACAGTTTTTTTTCCCCCCTCGGTCCTTAACTAACCAATGGAGATGAAGAAAAAAAAAAGAAGAGAAACAACATTGTCTGCCTTCGTTAGTCTTGCGGCAGCATCTTGTTGCCTGTATTTATTTATCGTTTATCGCATCGCTGGCGATAAGTTTTTCGGGCGCAAGAACATGTGTTGTGGCTTTTGTGGCTCGTTGCCACTGCCACTGCGGCAGGATCTGCTCGTTTCGGCCAGGGAATTGATTGGATGCCATTTGGGCTTTTGTCAGGTGAAAATAAAAAATGTTGTGAATGAGCTTTAAGTAATTGATATGGGTACGGACACTGGACACTCGCAGCTCGCAGCTCGCAACTTGCGACTGTGGCAACCTTCGTCTCGCGAATCTGGGGATCCTCGATGCTCGATCCTCGATCCTCGCACATACCTCACTTCACTCAATCAGGGCTTTAAGCCACGAACAGCGGGCATTGTTCCTTTGTCCGCGCTTTGACAGCTGTGGCCTCAAAATGAGGCGCTTGCCATTTATTTGCGGCATGCACCCCCAAAACCCCCCAACCCCTACCCTCCCCAAAAACCCTCTGCAATTTATAACCCCTTTTTCGATCAGCCAGCGTGCCAATTATTCATACTAGGCGCATACTTTTCATTTCGCCCCTTTCCACTTATGTTCCAATTAAATTAATTTCGTTCTTGTTTTCGAGTATTTTAAGCATTTTCATTTTTTGAAATTTTTTCGAAAACAATAACAGCAGCAACAACAACTATTTACTCACACATCCATGTGTCTTTTGTCTTGCTCACCAGTAATTGTCTCTATCTTTAACTATTCTAACCAGCCCATAAATCTGTATATTAATCCAAACAACTAATTAAAACAGAGATTCTCAGGATCTCTCGGCTTGATCTTGTGCTGCCCACATGCATGAAAAGTCAAGTCCAACAAATTAACGAGAAAAAGGTACAACACATAAATTCTAGACAATTATGGCCCACTGACGCCAAATGTCAAATCAAGCAGCAACAGTTAGTTGGACCTTTAGACCCCGGACGAGAGGGCCCAGAGAAGAAGAAGGCTGCCAAATCAGGCCCTAAAAACAGGTTCAGTTTCGGTTTCAGTTTCAGTTTGGGTATGGGTTTGGGCTCGGGTTTGAGCTCTGTTTTTTTTCGTTCCTCTTTTTGGGACCCAGACAATGTCACACCGTAAAAAACAAACGGAGACGAAGAAATACCAAAGTGTGCACAAATTTCCAGGAAATTACAGCCAGATGACTGGGCCCATGGACCACAGAAGATGATGTAAGTGGTGGTGGTGGAGGGGGGGGGGGTTGAGAGTTGAGAGGTGGAAAACAGTTATAAGCAGGCTACTAAATCATAGGCCAACCTGCTACGTGTCGCTTTCTGGAAAATGAAAATAGAAATAAAAATAAATAAAACAGAGGAGGGACAAGCCACAAGAGCGGAGGCAAATTGAAACCAAAACAAAGGCGAGGGAAAATCCAAAACAAATGCCTGATGGCCATAAAACACAGAAGAAACACAGGGAGGTTGAGTGGAACCAGGATCGCTATAAATAGAAGTCGAATCAAAAAGTAGTTAAACCAAAGAATTCCCAGTGCGCGTGCGCAGCAGCCAACTCCGTTTGGGATGGAACCTTATTCCCTTTCAATTTCGGCCAACTTGACTGCCTTTTTGTGTTGTCAAATGTGGGCACGTAGGGTAAAAACATCATTAACACGTTTGATTTATTAACTGCCGAGTGGATATTCCGATTGGCAGAGCAGCCCCACAACTTTCCGGGAAGCTGAAAAACTACAAAAAAAAGATAGTCAAAGGGAAAAGGAAAACTCTAACAATGGCCAGCCAGCCAGCCACACTTTATGGCTTAATATGCAACCGATGGGAAAACTGAAGGGGGAGTTCTCCTTTTATGCTAAATGCTAAGCACTCGACGATGGCCTTCCGTTGTTCTGCTTTATGACAAACTAATAAATGCATAAAGTTTTCAATTTTTCAACGGCTTCTGTTCGAGGTGCAAACCGAAGACAGATGTGGCATAAATATGCATGACTAGGGCAGGTGAAAATTTATTACTATGTTGTATGCCAAAAAGTATGAGACACAGAGTGAAATTCGCAGTTTCTCGTTAACCGGGAGACAACACACAATTTTCTGAGTTGGCGAAACTTTTCTTCTCCTCGCCATAATTTATGCAATTTTAATTCAGTGGGTGTTGCCCCACTGATTGGCGGCACTTTTACGCAGAAAAAAAATGAGAAAAAAAAGCCACACGCCCAGCGGCAATTAAAAAGTGCCATAAAAACCAAACAAAAAGTTCACGAAAAACAAACCAAGGCAGAGCAAACTTGCGATTAAATGGAAACAAATGAACTGTTTATTTAACGCGCCTGGGGCAGTTCACAAAAAAAAAAATGAAAAGCAAACCAAAGAGATTACTTGACCACATGCTGGTTGACGAGCGGGGAAGGGGGAAAACACGCAGAGCGTTTTATTTAATTTCTTTGAAAGCTCAAATACAAAATGCCAGGCATGCCTGGAGACAGGACATCGCCGCAGGACACGTGTGACAATAGCTGCGTGAACTAAATCACGTGAAGCCACACAAGCCCCACGAAAATAAAGGAAATAAACCGCGTTTCTGTCATCAAAACGCAACTGGAATTCCCCTAATGGCATTTCAGCAGGCGAGCGCTTGACAAACGCACTTAATGAGATCCCTCCGCTAACCGTTTTTCATATTTTGGGTGCGCCTTTTTGGCCTTCGGCCAGTGGCTAATATTCAATAAAAAGTTATGCTCATGTGGCCATGTAAAAAGGCTGGCTTAATTAATTACGCCAGAGCGGCCAGGCAAAAGCCCAAAAAAGTAGCGTTAAATCTTTCGGTTTTCTTTTTAGCATGGCTAATGGTTAGAAGTAGTATAGAGGGGGGGTTTTGGGGGAGTGACTTTATGACTAAATTTCAATTTCAAAACAAGCACACTGAACAAAGACTGGAAGCATTAAACACACAAAAACCGAAATAATGAAGCCCATTTAGTGGCGTCATTAAATGAGTTGAGGAAAAGCTGGGGGAGAAAACTCTGGCCCAAAGACAACTGTAATATGGAACGTTAATAACGCGTTACATTTGCAACTTCATCTCGCTCCCTCGGGTCAAATCAACTCTGCTTACAAATTATGACTAAACTTATTCAAATGAGGCTGACTTACAGTTAGCCCTCGAGTGCAAAAGGGAGGGCTATCTGCGGCTAGAAAGAGAGCGAGTCGGATGGAACTGCAGTCACTAGAACGAAGCCGCTGTCGCTGCTTAATTAAAATGTGTAAAGTCAGCAGAGGCAGTGCTGGAAAGAGAGGGGCACATGGCCCCGAGAAAGAGACAGGGCGATACAGCCGACCCCAGCGAATCCATCATTTCCGCTTCCATGCGTTTGCCCGGCAACCCAAAAAAAAAAAAAAAAAAACAAAAAATTAACCAAGAAAAAACTAAGGAAAAAATACAGCACAACCAGCAACATACACACAAAAACAAAAGACATCGAAATGACTGAGAAACAGCTGAAAAATGTGGCCCTCTGTTGTTGCTGCTGTGCATCATGTTGTTGTCGCGCGCTTTGGGTTAACATTAACCCCGTACAAATGTGTGCGGAAGACAGTGCCCCAAGAAAGTTTGCCAACACAGGCGCCCAAGAATGCGACACAGAAAGAAATAATAACTCACTTAAGCCATCTTTTCAGGTCACATTTTCCGTATCATTAAGTGTTTGCAACTCAAACTTTAAGTGCAGTCCAAGTTTTTAAAAACAAATTCAAAGGGCACAGCAACTAAATTGTGTTTCTTAATTTTCCATTTCCACAACTCAAACTCCAATAGTTCAAATACTAAAAGTTTTATTTTAATTAGCACTTGTTGTGTTGATAACATACAAAGTAAATTAAAATAATAGAAGATCATAAAAACACAATCATGTTTTAGCATAAAAAAAACAAGTTTTCTTTTAATTTTGTTGAAGGCTTCATTTTAAGTTTGTTGAAGGAAACTTGGACTGTAATTAACTTAACTCATAAATATGACACATTAACAAATCATTTTAAAATGTATCCTAAACTATACCTCCGGTTACTATAAAACAGCCCATTAAATATTTGCATATTTTTTGTAATTTTTGCAGAGGGACGCGAGTGTGTGAATTGCGGCGCCACATCGACGCCACTGTGGCGACGCGATGGAACGGGACACTATCTGTGCAACGCCTGTGGCCTGTACTACAAAATGAACGGCCAGAACCGACCGCTGATCAAGCCAAAGCGAAGACTGGTAAGCAAATGCTAGATACAGATATACAGATATATATATAAGCGACCCGCTGGGTTAAACATCCACACATTCGATCAAATTAACTAATAAATTCAGCAACTGTATTGGGGAGTGGGGGGTGGGGGTGGAGTGAGTTCCTGGGAAATCGCTGCACATGAGCATCAATCTCGGGCCACGTTTCTGTCGCCAAAGGCCATAAAAAGCAGCGTGAAAGTTCTCAAATGTCATAATACGATTCCGGGAACCAGAAACTCTTTACGTTTTCTGTGTGTGTGTCTCCTTGATTGGGGCTGGGAAAAATGCTTTCGATTTGGATGCTGGCCCGATAACGATCGAGGTGCATCATCATTATCACTTAGCACACTAAAAACATAATCAGACAGCAGCAGTCGAGTATTAGTAGAGTGTGTGTGGGTTAGGGGCTATGCTTTTATCGAGCTGGATCATCAACAAACTATGAAAATATCTGTAACCTTGTCGCGGTCAGGTTCGTTCTTCGGTATTTTTATTTTTTTCCGTTTGTGGCGCCAGTACGAAACGAAAGACTCAGGCAACGAACGCGAAGAGCTAACCACAAAAAAAAAATTGGCCTATTAAAGATGCGTAAAAAGGCAGGCAACAACCATAACAACAACGGGGCAAACAAACAAACTGTTAAACGCTGCCTTCGCGTGGCTCGGCGTTGATTTTTTATTGGCATTTAAATCGTATGCGTTTTGATTGCATAACATTAACATAAATAAACCATTATTATCCCCCCGCTGGTCCCCGCTGACGTAGGGAATTCCCAAGAAATTCACAGCTGGATCCCCGAGCCAGCTCCTCGCAGATCGTTGTTGATCGAGTGTTGGCCATTGGACTTTTTCGTTGACAAAATATGCAACAAATTAAAATTTATGTGGCACTCAGCTGACTTATGGCCCGTCCGTCCGTCCGTCCGTCTGTCCGTCCATCTGTCTGTCTCACTTGCTCTGCGGTGGCACAGGATGCGGCCCATCAACTTCAAATGTCCTTAGCTGCTTGAAATGCAATTCAATTGTGTTTAGCCGGCTGTGTTCGCCGAGGGCTGACCATTGAAATCACAGAAGAGCTGGCCCCGAATCTCTTTGGGTGGCAATTGTATTGATCTTCGAGTCGCGAGACGACGCGAGGGTCAAGTTTTGTGTGGCTTGGTGTTTTGCCGGCGATTTGCTGGGATTTTGCATACCATGCTGTTGCACTGCTGCACCTGCAGCTAAAAGGGGGCGGGGAACCGGTCCTCATTGTCTGCTACTTTGCTGCTTTGGGGCCGCCTTTAATTAAATTTCCGAATTGTATGAAAACAGTCAACAAGTCGTTACTCTTCCAGCGCAAAACACTGCAAAATTCTTCTTATTTTTTTTTATTTTGTGTGGTGTGCGCCTCCTCGATCCCCGAGCTTCGAAACAGAACAATGCAAATTTTTAATTTATGTATTTTAGCCCGCAACTCAGTTTCGGTTTCAGTTCAGTTTTCGGTTTTAAGTTGCCAGTTTCCAGTTGCCAGCTCAGCTCAGTTTTGCAGCTCTCCAGTTTGCCGGCCCCATTCGCTTTTACATATGTTTTCCAGTTGTTCCGCCGTTGTTCTGCTGCTCCTTTGTTGTTGCTGAACTCTGGCTAAGCAGCCCGCTGGCGTCGCAATAATTGCATTTAATTATAAGGCCCGAAAACTTTTATAAGCGTTAAAGTTTCGTTTTGTTTTCGCTTTTAGCCGCCAGGCTGCCTGCCCTCCCCACAACGAAAATAGCCAAGCCTTTTTGGTTCCAGCCTTGAATGGCATTTGTCACATTTGCCAGACAGTGCAGATCGAAATTGTAAGACATGTTGGAGTGCAAATTTAAACCTAAAAAAAGGAAAACAAAGAGTATTTATTTTGAGAGTTTTTTAAATAGAAACATGTCATTCAAGAGGTTTTATTAAACACTTATCAGCATTTTCTTATTTAAGAGTTGCATTCCACAAATAGGAAATGATGTTCGAAATTAAAAATGTTTCCCAATTTTACACCTTTGCAACGCCCTGTCAATAGTAGCAGTTAATGTCTATAGCTAATTGCCAATCCATGTTTAAAAGCCGCAAATCCGCAAAGAACACACAACTTTAGCTGGGGTCAATCGCAGTCAACAGGCAGCTGCTCATCTCGCCGATCGTGACTTATATAATCAGGGGGGGGGCTTTGGGGGTAAAGGGGCGAGACTCGGCGCTTGCATTTTGCATAATATTTATGCCTCAGTTGCTGCCTGCTTAATTTATGCGAATTTTCACACAGTAAATTGAACAAAACGACGGCCACGTCATGGCAAAAAAAAAAAAGATACAACAAAGTTAAAAATTATTTATTCTTACGCTTATTACATTGGCTTATGTCACATTTGCATGCCGCATTGAGCACTACCAAGAAAAGCTCGCTATTGCCATTTGGAAACTGTTAGCAACAATAAACCCATCAACACTTGACACAATCGTTTATAAATGCATTTGGAGAATAGAGCTTAATTAATTATTAATCCGCAGGCGTATTTCAACGCTAACAGCTCAACAGCTAAAAGCTAACAGCCATAAACCAGGCTTAAACGATCGCAGCGGGCCAACGAATTTCGTGGCCAACCCACTGAGAAAGAGAGAGCAGCAGTGGAAACGAAAGAGACGGGGACAAAGGGGAAAACTAATTAACACATTTTGGGGCCAGCTGTGGCATCTCGGGTTCCCCGTGGGAAAATCGAATCGATTGTAGGCTGTTACGTTCAAAAATTAAATGCATAAGGGCAGACGATCGATAATCAAAACTAAAGCAGATCGAAAATGAAATAAAAACAACAAGGCGACTTGCAAAAAAGTTCAATGTACGTTACTCCTTTTGGCCTCTTCATCATCGTGATCGTGGAACGCAGCCAACGGGGCGTATACGCAATCGCGGGCATTAAGCTTGTTTTTTTTTCGGTTATTCTTATTGGGGCGCTAGGATATCTTGTTAAGTGGGGGCCTAATATTATTAAAATGCACTTGGGGCCACAAAAGCGAGCTGACGAGCCTGATCGGTGAAAAAAAGGGAATGCAGCCGCGCGCTCAGATCAATTAAAAATTAACGATACGAAGCGCAACGCAACGCAGCAAAAACGGGGCGTGCCAATAATAATAATGAAAGAGGCTCAAAGCAGGGCTCAAACGAAGGCTCAAACGTTGCCCCAGCCAAAGGGTTGCCCGTCGATGATTAAGGCCAAGCCAGCCTTTTGTCTTGGCCACTTTTTGTCTTTTTCTCTTCTCATTTTATATCAACTCTTTTTTATACTTTATATATATTTCTTTTTTTTTTGGTGAGCTTGTTAACTGGGAATTCAGCTTTCGCTTTTGCTTGCCCTCTCTTTCTATTAACGAAATTTATGGTCACTGTTTAATATGCAAATGCATAATTTTGCACAGGTTACAGCACACACCCGAACACCACCCCCACCAAAAAAAGGGTTGCTTGTGCATTTTCTAACCCTTTTTTTTCCCCATTTACAGACAACGAACACGCAGTTGGTGGGTTAGGGAACGGGGGGTCGAGGGGGGTGTTTGCGCGTGTTTAGCGCACATTCATTTTGGTCAGCCACTGACCACTAGGCTCCACCTTGCCTCTTGGCCAACTCCATAATTTATTTAGGTTCGCGCTGCCCCCATTCAATGGCCAGTGACAAATATTAATGACGATTTTCATGCCTTCCAATGGGAGTTAAGGTTACCAACGGAGGTGTGAGGGGTTGTCAGTCTATTGCAACTATGGTCGGCTTTAAATGCAAGTCACTGCACTCAAAGAAATAGCAGGGATTTGTTAATATAATAAAGTATAATACTTTAACTTGGCACAGACTTAATATTGGTACTATCAGTTTTCATTCTCAATGTCTTTATAAAGTATTAAATTAAAGTTAAGTCATGTTCGTTAAAATATTTTGTCATTTCCTAACCAAATTTAAACAACAGAATCTTTTCCGCATTTAAACTTTGAAAGCCTCCAACTTTTACTTAATATACCTGTCGATTTCTCTATGTTTCGGGTCAAGACCTGGTTGCCACTGTTGTTTGCTGCTTAAAATTCACAACAAAGGCCCGTTGACATTTTAGCATTTCCATGCGACACAAACAGAACCCAAAGAGCCTTCGTCGTGTGGTTGGATACCCTCCCCAGACTGGATCGTAAAATTCATTGAGCAGCATTAATGAGCGACATTAATGGCTTGTTCTGTTTGCTGGCCATATAACATTTTATTGATTTTTTATAACCAACTCCTCTCTGCAGGGGCAGGTGTGATTTTTAGCAACAGTTTCGTGCCAGGTCGCAGCTTGAGCATGGAAATGAGTTAAGCTGATGTTTTAATTAGTCAAATTAGCTGCAGGGAAAGCCACAGACCGAACTGAGTCACGCCCCCCTGTCTCTGCCCCTGCCTCTACCCCTATTCACCAAATAACCAGCTGCAGGAAAATAGAACAGGAACTGAGGATGAGAAAAGGAAAAGAGAGGCCATAAAATTTGAATTTTTAAATTAAATTTCACAGTCAGAGATATGCGCTTACCGTTCTGAATGTAACTGTCATGTGCCCAGACACAAACTCAACAAACCCCATTTTGTGGGCTCCCTCACTCTTTTTGCACCCCCCGATGTACAGCATCAGATATAGAAATTTTCTGCCCGCTATCTTTAGTTATCTTCCCTTGATATATACTATATACACGTATATATACGTGTGAGTGGGTGGCTCCAAAACAACCCCCAGATTGAGGGGGCGGCCATGCGCTGTGAGCCAAGTTAAGGGTAGACTGCAAAACGACTGCGAAAAATTTAATGAATGTTTTGTTAGATAACACAGATACAGATAGAGCGAAGTGGAGGGGCAAAAGATACAAAAAGCGAGCTCTGCAGAGCGAAAGAGATGCCCCAAGTGAAAGATGTTACACTGAGATATGGATATAACATCTACTGGGCAGAAACTCGTCCTTCCTCCGCCTTAAACACCCCAATCCCCACCCACTTTTCCCGCACTTTTCCCAGCATCTTGACTGTGTCCCGGTTCGTATCTCAGATGGCAAAGGGCATTGCCACTGAACGACTCAAAAAGAGAGCGCACAAAAGCTCTGCGCAATAAATAGCAGTGTAGAGGAGGAAAATCTATTTACTCGGTACATATTTACTTAGCCTTAGCCGACAACCCCTCACCCACTTCCAAACAAAAATCTTTTCTCTGTGTTTCACTTACAATTAAATATTTAAATGCCTGTGTGTGTGTGTTTTTTTTTTTGTGTGAAATGAAAACGAAATTTGCATAACATCACAAAAGCAAAGCAGTGGGGAAAAAAGAAAAATCTGAAAGATAAGAAAAACAAAAAGAAGACGAGTCGACCATTTTGTGAGCTTTATTTTGAAAAAATATAAATCAAGCAAAGCGCAGCAAAAGGTGTCAAATGTTGGGCCAACAGCAGAGTGAAAGAGAGGGACATACCGGTCAAGAAAGAGACGGCAAATGCGGGCCTTAACAACAATGCAACGCATTTTGTCATGCATTGATAAATCACAATTTATGGCCACAACACTGAAAACTTCAAAGCCAACAGCACACACAGAAAACAACTGAGGTCAAAATTGTAGCGATTTATATTTAAATTTTTGAGGTTGCTTTATAATCTATAATATTTCATAGCTTTTTCTTATCAACGGTTGAATTTGTGTGCTAGTAAAATTAAATCACTTTTAGTTATTTGACCATATATAAGTCAAGAACAGAAAAACTTTATGCTTATTTAATAAGTATTTTAAAGACTTATTGTCAAAGTAGAATGGTTTCAAAATATCATAGGTTTTTCAATATGATTTTGACAATGTGTTAAATACTTTTTTTCCCCAAATGTTGAGTTATTAAATTGTTCCAAATGGCTATAATTCGCACCGTTTCTGTTTGCATAATGGTGTGGGGCACATAAAGCATTCCTTATGTGCCTTTTGCTTTTGTTTATTAATCGCAAGCGCCATCTTGTTTTGTGTGTTTGCTGCCGTTGTTGCTGTTGTTGTTGTTTTGGCGCTTGCGCTTTTTGCATTTCAATTAAACCCCAAACGCCTGTCAATGTCTGACAGTTTGTCAATTTTCCCATCACCCCCAGCACAGCCCCCTCCCCCTCCCACTCCTTCTCCCCGAGAAGTCAATTATACCCCTCCCGCTCGCTCTTTGCATGCAGCGCAGTGACATTGATTTATGTGATTTGCTACTCGATTGTTGGGCCCGTGATTGTGGTACTTACTGTACCCTATGTTACGTCAGTTCACCGAATCGAAGTGACACTGTGTTGGCCAACAGGAGTTGAACACCCACCTTCCAATGGAAATGGAAATGGAATGGGATTGGAATGCGAATCGCTGATCCTGTTTCGCAGTCGCTCCTCGAACTGTTTTGTTGCATTGTCATGTTAACAACTTAATTTATATACGCTTAAGCATTTCGGCCAAGTTGTCGTCCCGGCTGAAAAAGAGACTGCAGCATAATTACCACAAAACTTCCAGTTTATCTTCTCCTCATCCCGCCGCACCCCCTCACCCTCCTTGTAGGCGTTGAAATTAATTTTGAATTTCTCACTTTTCGCATTTGGTTGGCATTTTTTTTCGGTCCGCGTGCGCTGTCTGCAGAAATTGTTACAAGCTCGTTAACACAAGACAGTGCCACCAAAAAAAATGCAGACACCACCGGCTCAGCTCCCTTGCCATATGACCTCTGATTTATGTTAATCGCCAAATCGGGAACAGGTGAGACACACCAGACCAGAGCAAAGCCAAACAGATCGCAGTCGAGATCGAGATCGGGCTGCGGATCGAAGTCGTATCCAAACTCCAAACTCTCGGAGACGAAGGCGATTCCCTTGTGGCAGAGGCAACAATTAAAAATCAAAGTCAAACATGATCAACGCCAGTTTAAGGCCTCGTAGCCATGTGTTGTATCAGCAGCATGAACAAGCCAAACTGGAAGGCTGCACGGGGAGAAATAATGGGTATTTTTAGTTGTCAACTATTAAAAATCACTGATTATTAAACATTTAAAAAGGATCCACATAAATGTTTTGCCAACACACTAATCCATCGTTTTTATTTCCTAAGAAACCCCATATTTTTTATCAAATAATATCCACTTCTTGCAGTGTATTTATAGAGGGGGCACCAATGGAGGGGGCATGCCATAACGAAGACCAAAACGCAGACAAAGTCTGTACTACAAAAATGGGGAGGGGGGAATGGATAAGGAACAGAGGCTGGGTTTGGGTTTTGGGGCTCTCGATTCTTGGTTCTCGATTCTCTGGGCTGCTTGCTCGATTCTCGATTCTCGGTTCTTGTAGCCAATTCGTGGAAATTTAAGCGTGGCACAGACATGATCCCAGCTTGTTGTTGCTGTTGCCGTTGTTGTTGCTGCTGTTGTTTTTGGGCAGTTTTGTAAAAATTGTCATTTTAATGAATTGATGCTGCTGTTAACCCAAGTCGAACGCAAGGCAGCAACAGTTCTCCATCTCCGTCTGAGTCTCAGTTCTCCGGGCTCTGGATTTTTTTTTGTTGTGGTATGCCATCTAAAAAATGTTGTTGCCTGGTGTGTTAAGCAACTTTGTTTTCGGAGGAGGGAGACTCGAAAGGAGGGGCACATAAGATTCTTGTGACTGACTTTGGTGCGTTAGTTTTGCCGCTGTTCAATTAGCCGTTGCATCAGCATTAGCATAATCAACTCTTTTAAGGAAATAGGAAATACATAAAAATAACCATAATTTGTTGGCCAATGTCTAACCCTTCTTTGTCTACTTTTTCTTACTATTTATAGACCCTGCAATCGCTGCAAAGTGCGGCCAAAAGGGCGGGCACATCCTGCGCCAACTGCAAGACCACAACCACAACCCTTTGGCGACGCAATGCCAGCGGCGAACCCGTGTGCAACGCCTGCGGATTGTACTACAAGCTGCACAATGTAAGTATCTTGAGAATCTTCTATGACTACAGTAAGAAAAAAAGGTTTAAAAATGAAAAATTCATTAGAAAATACTTCATAAGAAAACAGGGGACAGGTGGAATTTTAGATTCAGTTAAACAATATTACATTAATTTTTAATATTAAAATCACTATATTAAAAGAGTCGCTTTCTGTCTAAAAAAAGTGTAAAGTAGCAGCACGTATCAAAAGTAATTCAATCCAAAATTCAAAGTTAAAGCTAAGTGTAGATCACACCATTGGTCACCGGAACTATTACATAGGAAAAGTATCTTTTAACTCACCCCACGCATATTGATTTTCGATCCGCGCGATTTAACGCCACATTTAACATCGGAATCGGACACTCTCGGCGAGTGTTGGACAGGAAGCGCACGCACCCGGATTAAAAGTGACAAAAATGAAGTGTCTGGAAAGCCCGCCCACTGGCTGTAGTAGCCCCCCCCTTTCCATTTCCCATTTTCCGGCCACCCCAGGGGGTTGACTGCCGTTTAGCTACTCCATTTGTTGCCGCAGCAGGTTGCTGCTTTGTTACCCTCATGATGATGAATGCCCGATGATTATTTAAAGATGCCAGTCGGCCACCACCCACTATCCACCACTTTGCCATCCAGCGATAAGCGTCTGGTGTTTGCTGTTTGGTGTTTGCCTGTGAAAATGCGATAAGCTTTCCCCGCGATTTCCAGTTATGGGCAACGCGTGGCAGGATGCTAGAAGATCTCCCCCTTTGCAGAGTTAATTTATGTAATCGACTACCCGGCTAACTGCATTCAATTGAATAATGTTCAGCCATCCCATCCAGCCACCCCCTCGCCCTCTCTCTCTTATTAAATATTCATTAGCCACGCTTTTCAGGGGATAAGCTCAAGTTTTGCCCCCCCAACTTATTTCCCATTTTGGTGTCTTTTGGTTTTTTTGGGGTTTCTTTTTCATTCCTTGTTTTTATTTGGTTTCGTGGCCTGCAGTCAAGTTTTAATGAGTTTTGCGGTTGAACTTTTGGCACATTTACATGTCAGTGGCCCTTAAGTGATGGGCCACCTGTCTGCCCCACTGTGTGGCAAACTAATTAAGTTGCGGTCGCCACTTGTGGCCACTTGCAAGCAAAGTAGCGGCTGCATTTCGATGGCAATCGGCAAAGGCGAAATATTTTTAATTGAGCCCGTCCATAAAAGGCAAATATCAAAGAGCAAGCAAACACACATACGCATTCACATTTGCTCTATTTTCCGTAATCTGATTTGCTCAAAGTAAAAACTTTTCCGACATACGAGAAAATGCACTTTGGGTGGCTGAACAGGCGAAATTTATTTTTGCAAAAATTTTCCTTCAATTGGACAGTGGCCCATCTCGATAAGATGCCAATCAGCGCGCATTTTTGCCATTGCCATCTCCGTCTCTGTCTGCCCCCCGTATAGCTCTCTCTTTCCCTACCTCTTTCGCTGTCTCTTTCACTTTTTCTGACTTTGGTTGCTTTTCTGGCTTGCAGTTCATTTCAATTCAATTCGTTTGTCATTTCGAGCTGTGCCGCCTGTGTGGGCCTCTCTAACCAAAGTGATTGGCACATTTTATGGAAATGTTGCAGGCACTTGGCGTGGCGTAGTACAGTGGGGCATGGCTAGAGGCAATTAGAGCATTCGTGTTACGAAAATGGAAAATTTATGCTAATAACTTCATAATGCCTACGGTAAATCAATGCTTAACAGGAGTATGTAGCCTCTAAATTTATATGGTTTGTAATATTTCTTTAATGTAATTACATGTGTACATTTGCCTAAAAACCCACAACCACTGTAATCTAAGAAACACTCGTTCCTGTATCAGCATTTGCTTTATTCTGGATATGCACTTGCTAGATCTTTGATCTGTTATCTAGCATCTGCGCGTGTCTGTTCGAGAGTTCCTCGAAATCGAAGTTTATCTTGGAGAATCAGCATGTTAATTAACGCCAAATGATACAATTGTTGAGCAGGTCAAATAGTCCTTGGTGACCTGCTGGGAAAATGTCCTGTGGTGAAGTGACAATAAAGGGAAAAAATATAGAAAATCATAAAGGTTACCTAACGGTGCCTGGCGCCGTCTTACCGTCGCCTTGTCCTCTGGATTTGTCGCACTCTCTCTTTTTTCCTCGGGATCTTGGGTATATATCTCGGGTATATATCTCTGGTATATATCTCTAGTGTATATCTGTGGGTGGGCTGATGCACTGGCTGGTTTTTTCATCTTCGGGGGCTGTCAAGTTGCCAGTCAGCTGCAACGGCGCGTGTTCGCTCCACGCTCGATTTAGATTTTATGCATAAAAAAGTTAATCTGCTGATGTGTGGTGTGGTGCTCCCCTTTGGGGCTTTCCTCTGAATTTCTTAATGAGCTAGGCCTGGGCATTAACAACTTTATGCTTTGTTGCTGCATATCAATTAAAGCTCAACAGAGATCCGCAGCTGCCGTCGAGTTGCTAATTGCCGCAATTTGCGCTAAACGCTAGAGAGACTATCAATTACGTGGGCTGCCCTGAGATCCTCCCATCTCCCCTGGATACTTATGTATATATGGGTTCTCTATTTTGTGTATCGCATTGTAAGTGATACGTTTTTGTCGCCGAATCACAACCCTCTGAAAAATCTCGGCTCTTCAAAGTGCTCGTTCGGCAATTTAACAATTTCTCTGTTTGCTTTCTCGAGGGCACAATCAAAAAAGAGGCACCCAGCACAATGTCGTAATTCACGCCCAGGTAGCCCTTGGTCCTTTGTAATGCCACATTTCTGGCCTCCCCTCTTCGGCTTTGTTGCTAATGTTTTGCTGCTGCTGCTGCTGCTGGGAATGGGTAACCCAATATTGTAATTGTAGCGCAATGAAGCGCATGCTGCCGCTTAGATGTTCGCAAGTGATAAGGAGTTGCATATGAAGAGAGCCCAACAATGGCCAAGGGAATAGCAGCAGCAACAGCGGCAGCAGCAGCAGCAGCAACATCAGCAACAACTGCAGCAGCACAGCAGCAACATCAGCAAACGTTTCAAGTAAAAATACTAAAAAAAAAAAAGCATTACCCGGGTGCCGTTGGGAGCGCTATCAGCGCCAACTAATCGCATTCGCAAATGTCGCTTATCTGATCGTGTAGAAATGCTTGTAATACTTCATTTTCACTTCCCGGTTGCACTCACACACACACACACACATCTGAGCACTGGGGGACACACACACAACCAACCCTGTCTCACACAGACAGCGTGTGCAGCTAGCGGCATTTCCGGTCCATGAATTTGCATAAATTTGACCCATTTTAGCGGTCAGTCGCTGACGGTTTTAGCCCTCTTTTCGGCTCGCTTTTACTTTATTGATTTTCCACCTACACGCAGGAAAACTTAGTTCTCCTAGAACTATTTTCCATGAGCCTTTTTTTTTGTATTAAATTATTTTGATTTAAATAATCCAACTTTATAAAACCTTTTCTGAAGTATGATTTTAGTTACTTTTAAATTTAGGACCTCCTTAAACATAACTTTATTAAATAAAGATTGTCTTGGTAGTGAGAAGTCTAAAATGTTTCAGTTACAATTTAGATGGTACAATAATAGCTTCATTATTATTTTAGCGCTCCGTTCTGCCTGTTTACTAATTTATTTCTCTTTTCCCAAATTATTTGCAGGTCAATCGTCCGCTTACGATGAAAAAGGAGGGCATTCAGACGCGTAACCGCAAGCTGAGCTCCAAGTCCAAGAAGAAGAAGGGTCTGGGCGGCGGCTGTCTGCCAATTGGCGGACACTTGGGCATGGGCGACTTTAAGCCACTGGATCCTTCGAAGGGATTCGGCGGCGGCTTCTCGGCCTCCATGGGTAAGCATCTGCTCTTTGGGAGCCAATTTAATGCCCGTCACTCCAGCTAACACTCGCCTTTCCCCCATTTTCCTCGCTCTTTTTAGCGCAACATGGACACCTCTCGAGCGGACTGCATCCGGCACATGCGCACATGCACGGCAGCTGGTACACCGGCGGCATGGGCGCATTGGGCGCCTCGAGCGGACTGCAGGGCGGCTTCTCCACCGCCGGCTCTCTCGGCGGAGCGGTGGTGCCCCACTCGCAGCCCTACCACTTGGGCCTCAGTTCGATGGTGAGTAGAAGAGAATTTTTATGCCAAGAACAGCTTTTCGACAAAGCTTTTAAGGCACAGAAAAAAATATAGGAAAAATATAAGGATAGGTTTTAGTAGTTTGAGTTAATTAAACAATTAAATAAAAAATAAAAGCAAAGGTTCTGAGCTGATCTGAATTACTTTATTAGATATATTTGTGTAGTACTGCGGATGAGAAATACATTGCAATTTATTGAATTTCCAATCATTTTAAAGTAATAACGTTGAAAATTTAGGATAAATCTAAGAACTTTTAAAATAACTCTAAATATACTAAAAAATTATTTAAATGTATTGGAACTTTATTAGTTAAATATACTGGAAATTTATAAGTTAAATATATTGGAAATTTATTAGTTAAATATATTGGAAATTTATTAGTTAAATATATTGAAAATTTATTAGTTAACATTTTTCAAATACTTATAAACAGTTAGCAATGCGAAGTACCTAAAAGGTGTTGTTGCAAGAAATCCTTCACTCAATTAGTTAAATTCTACTTTCACTTAAAATTAAAAATTTGTTCTCTGTGCAAGCTTTTGTGTGGATTGTGATTCCCGAACTTTTACTAACGTTCCACCTGGACTTTTCCCTCTTCTCTCCTGCAGGGCACCTGGCGCACTGACTACACGTGATGGAGCGGGAACAACTTGAACAACAATCTGTTCAGTTAGAGCCGCGACTCACCCACTCCTCAGTCGAGCTGATGGAGCAGTAAATAAATCGAGACAAAACGAAAGAAAACGAAAACCAGACAAAACACAATGCCAAACTGAGGACTCCTTGGCCAGCAATTGACAGTGGCACCAAGGCCTTGACATCCCAACCAAAATTTGATGGAGTGTGGGGGAGGGGGGGTGTGCGGACTGGACGAACGCTGGCTATTCCTAATTGTAAACATTGCGTGCAATTTTTAATTATTTAAGCTTTGTCGCTGTTGCTGCTGAAACTGCGAGCCGAGTGCCGGCAGCAATAACAAAAGCCCCATTAAAATTAATTAAAGGGCTGCACATTACTTTTATTTTATTTTTCCTTTATGGCTTTTCTGTGAGTGTTTGTATAGTTTTTCCTTATGTTTCATATTTCGCTTAATTAATTTAATTTCTCGCCGCAAATTCAGCGTATTTAATTGTGCTTTATGAACTGCCATAAAAACAGAATGAGGGGGGAAATTTCATAAATATTTATTGTGTACATATAACAGAAAACGAGAATCAAGCACACAGAGAACTAAAATTATTATATACAATAAACAAAAACAGTTACAATGCACGTCCAAAAGTAAACATTTTTGTATAAATTAAAACAAAAAACAAAAATCGTAGGTATAAGAAAAGTTGCTTGAGATGTTTGTCCTAATTCGCAAAACGCAATTGAAAATTGCACAAATACTTTAGAGCGTACGCCTACTGTAAACTAGTTAAATTCTTAGACTCTAAACAAAACAGACGTGATAAACAAAAAGTAAAATCTATATATAAATATTAATATAACAAATTTCACTAAAGCGCGCCATTAGCAATTGTAAAATAAATTTAACAAAATGTAGAGAAGAAAAATGTTTTAGATTGAAAGCAAAGGCCGCCGTCAACTTTTTAAACTAAAAAACACACTTAAATGTTCAATGTTAATGCCTAAGTCTTAAAAATATACACACATACACATTAAAATATACATAGACTTAAACGTAATGTAATAAATTTAATTAAATTAAATGTTAAAGGCAATTTGTAAAATACATTTGTTAGCAATTTTTGTAAAATTATAGAGAAAACAAAAAAAAAAAAAAACCACAAAAAAAAAAACAAATCCAACTAAACATAAAACCGTAACCCCCTAAGTTGTGTGTATAAAGCCAGTTTAGTCCTAACCTAATTTATGTCTGAGGTATAAACAGAATACGATATGTATAACTATATATATAAATAATATGTATTATGTGCTAAGTGTAAACGATAAATGTATTGTAATTTGGCCATATTGATAGTTGAATATATATAAATCAAAGCAAAAATAATGTTTATTTAAAATCGAAACAAAAAAATGGAAAATTGTATTAAATTTAATGGCAATCACCAGAAAAACCCATAAAAAAATCACAAAAATAAATAAAAATAATTTATGAAGAAAAAATATACATAAAAATACAGAAAAAAAAAACACACAAAAACGATTCTAATTGAGGAACGGTAACTGAAGGCTCCGCCGATGATTAATTGCTTTCAGATGAGTTGACAGAAAATCGAAATTGGTTTGGTAATAAATCCAATAAGCAGCCATCGAAACCGGGGCCGCAATGATGTCTCTATAATGGCCATTTATGCTTATGAATTGCTCTTTAAATTTCGATGCGTCTTTGCTACACAAGAAACGTGCCTTGGTTCCCTCAATTTTTGATACTTTGGGCCTCTATGTTGGTCATTTGTTATGCAGCATTTGTAGCTGGCCATTGAACGCATGAATTATGAGTTGTTTGGAGGCGTGAAATGGCATGTTCGTAGCGCAGTTGTTTTTGGTGTTTGGGTGAAGTGGCATAAGAACACAGTTTGTTGCCTAAGTCTTTTGTTTTACAGCGATGACCAGGCCAGAATGATGGGCCAGGAAAAGTCCCAAACGAACGCGTGTTAGCTGGCCATTAATCCGACATCCAGTCGAGTAAACTGCAATGATGACCCCATTGGACCCTTTTTTCACTCGGCATCCGCTTCCGCTGTACCTTGCCAGGGTTTTTGTTTCGCCTTTTTTGTTATCAATATTTGCTATTGCTAACAATAAAATAAACGCAAACCTATCGGCTGGGTATATCGCTGGGCATTGCAATAATTGGGACAGCAATTAGGTGCACGGCACGGCCACGCAGTCAAGCAGGTCCGATTTGTTCAGTTATTGAAATATATATCGCTAGTTGACAGGTACGTGAATAAAAAGTAAGTTCTAAAGAGGTTCCATGCTCTTCTCAGATAATAAATTTTATCAAGAAATTTGGTTGCCAAGGAAATTTAAGGCATTACTCTTAATGAAATTAAAAAGAGCCAATAAAAAATAGTCATTTGACTTTTCTTAGTGGGTAATTAATCAGTAATTAAATAATACAAACTTATTGAAATGATTTTTTATTGCAAAATTAATCAATATGAATGCATTGATAACTTAAATAAATAACTTAATGTGTATAAATAATTTTACCGAATCAAAATTATAAAATTATTTAACTGCCTGACAAAACCGAAACGCACTGTACCTACGTATATATGGACCTGATTAGTCAGCATCACATGAGCTCAACGTGATAGGCACTGTCCTCTACCATCACGGCAAAGCTAACCGAAAACAAAGCAAAACGAAAAGGTAAACCTAATTGCTATATAATTACAATATAATTGAAACAAAATAAGTCATTCGAGGCGGTGCCTTGGAAATTACCCCCAGTCCGCCGAGTTAGACACATGCAAAAGTGTCGCACATGTCACGGGTCAATTGTAATGGTAACTAAAACTGTTCCTCTAATTCCAATACCAATTTTCTAGTGAGTCCATCAGACGAAACAAATTGCGGTGATCAATGCATAAGCAATGACCAGCCATATAAATCAGTTAATCAGCATCGCAGATAAGCGTGGCAGTGGGCATATGTTCAGCCAATGGGAAACCAATTCACACACCGATACACACTCGCATGGGATGATAATGGGGCACGCCACCTGAAACCAGTTGGATATGGAGAACATGCAACAAACGACATAAATAAACCGCACTAAATATGAACGTAAATCAATGGGTCTGTCTATGGGATTGGAATTGGTATAGGTATAGGTATTGTGGATGGGGCAGGTCTATTAGGGGGAACTCTTGTCTCTACCGATCCCATCAAATGTTTGTATTTTGGGACCCTGCATTAACTAATTAGTTAAACTCAAACACAACCAACAGCAACATGAATTTATGATATGATTTAATGCTGGGACAGCTTATTTTAGTTTAAATGATGAAAACCATTTATGAAGTAAAATTTGGTTTAACCACATATATTTTATTTATTCTTTTGGTCATGTTTTTTTTCAAATTGGATTTAATAAAAATTAAAGGAGAACCAGGCCAATTTAACACTATTGACTAGCGTATGAAATTGACTGTTTTTGTAAGACTTATAACCATAAATATTTATAAAACCATTTCCATATAAGTGGAGTTCACTCTATTTATTTTCTCTTCACTTCCGACAGTATCTCCAAAAACGCTCGTATTAATCCGATCAATTTGGGTGCATTAAGTTCAGTAAATCACTGATTAAACAGTTCAATAGAATTCGAATTTGCCTGAGTGCTGGCTGCTTTTGAGGCTCGTCTCACTCGAAAGGCCAAGACAGCAGCAAATATTTGGTCATGCATTAACTAATTAGTGACAACGACGAGGAGGAGCCAGGGAACAATGCTCCTCCGACCAGGTCCTCGACCGTTTTCTCATTGTCCTGGTCGCCGGAGGTCCTCCTCCCTTTTGTGGGCTTCGTAATTCCGTTTCTGTTTCTGTTTCACTTTTAGTTCGTGCGTTTCGGCTGCGTGTTTATCTGATTGGAAATGTGCACCCAACAATGGCGACACACACACAAAACACTTCTTTAGATGATTAGCTGCGATAGCCCTGGTCGGTTATGGCTTCTACCATTCGAGTCGATTTAAATGAATTTTAATACCGATCCAAGAGGAGCGAGCCTCGATTGCAATTCAATTTAGATGGCAACAAACATTATAATCTGAGAGGGCAACTTCCATTAGCCGTATTTATCATTGGACACCAGCGCATCAATGGGTTTTCGGTTGTGGGTTGGGTTTTGAGTTTTGGGATGGGGGGCAGGTCAAGTCGGCTGGTAAATGTAATTGGTTCTCGCGCTGGTTGGCTGCTCCTGGCTTTCTGGCTCTCTGGCTTTCTGGCCATTCCAATAATTTCACAAAAGCTGCCACAGTTTCAATTAAATTTCCGTTATCACACGCTCACAAACAGCTGCATCCCATTCAGCTGGATGGCGCTTAGTCAAACGATTGTTCGGCTGTGATAGCACCTACAACTCATTGCCCTAATTAGAATTATTCTAATGAAATTAAATTGCACAAATTGCATTTGCGGACGGGGCGGGAATTAATTATAGAAATGGCCATATGCCCGGGCATATGCGCTGTCATAATTTGTTTTAGATTTGCACAATCAACTGATTAACGTAATGAGTTTCTGCCTCTCTCTGACCAAACGAACAAATTCATTCCATTGCATTTCTCAGCTAATTTGATTAAATTAGGCACGGATGCCACTGCCAATGCCACTGCAACTGCAACTGCAACAGCATCCGTAACTGCATCTGCTTGTGGTCCATGCAATGTCATCACATGTCCAGCGCCCAACTCCAAACATGGCCAATGGCCAATGGCCCATTGGTTCTGGGCCTGGTCATATCAAATGCTTAATGGCAGCGGCCCATGTCAATTCGTGGCATATTAAATAGGAAAATTGGCATTGGCAATTGCAACAGATATTAGTTACCTCGTTGGTTTCCGAGGGAGGATAAGGAGCGGGTTGCCAGGGATATTCCTAAACTGTGTAGGTAGGCCTATGACTGCCACGGAATCAGGCAACAAGCTGCAGACTCAGCGGTTTGCCACAGTGGATGCAAATGAGGATTATAAATCAGGTTGTTAGTTATAATAACATACAAATTATTTAAGGTATACATAGATTGTGTTAAATAGAAGAATAAATGACACATCACAAGGAGGAAAAGAGCTTGCATTTAGAAAAATAATTTATTATATATACAAAATATTACACATAATTTCTGCACATCACTTTTCCTATTAGTTAGTTTAAATTTAGGTAAATAAACTTAATTTTCTTTAGTTTATCATCACCACAAGGGGAAAACAATTATTTGTTGTAATGAAATACTCTCTGTAAAGTATAAACATAATTAAAATTTATGAGGCAACTAAACTTCTCACTGGAATGAAGAGACTATATATTATACTTAACTGACTTTAGTCCAAATTAGATATAGTATTTCTGGAACCATCTGACTGTTCCACTGTCCAGAACCGGCGCTATCTGGGAGTGCGATCAATTTGTCGCTTGATTGTGTGCGTTTTGCATGGCACATGCAATGAGCCTTGCCTTTTTGGCCCGGCTTCGGGCCAAAGTCTTAGCTCTTGGCTGTTGCAGTTGGTCCGCGAGACGGAGATGGAGTTGGAGATGACGATGGAGGCTGTGGAGAGGTTAACTGGCCTTTGGGTTAGTTGTTGACAACCAGGCAGTGGCCATATTTGTGTATTATTGTTAAGCAAACGCACAAAACACAAAACACAGAAAAACGCACGAAATAAAAACGAGGCGAAGAGCCTAAAGAAGAGCCTGGCAAATATGACAAAGGCACATAAATTCGGTAGCCCCGCAAGTGGCAGGGATTCTACAAAAAAAAAAAAAAACAAGATGAACCAAAACGAAGGAAAAACATGCAACATGTTGCCCGTCTGTCTGGCCAAGATGCGGTGAAAATTTGTGTCGTCATCCCGGCCGAAAAGTGTCAAATTTCACGCAACATGATGCGCTAAATGTGGCCAGAAACTGCCTCCTCTGTTACCAACTCGCTGGCTCTGGCTCCCTTTCTTGCCAATCCCTTAACCCCTTAATGCTGCTGCTGCTGCTCCACACAGTTGCATGTTTATTGTAAATATTATGAAATGTTGATACCTGCGATTGCTGGTCTCCACTGTTCCTCTGGTCGGGCTTCTGCCTCGGGAGAATTTATTGATGCTGCGCGATAAATGCGCTTTGAGCATGGCCAAGAAGCTGGCCCGAGAACACGGAGGCATAAATTTCAATTTCCCAGAATTATGCCACAACGAATTATTGTTCCCGACATAATTCCCTGTGTAATTACCAGAGGCGAGTTAGGTGATAAGCCGGCAACACTTCTCTTGGCCAATTGCGGTGAAAGTTGGCTAAACTTTCGTCATCATTAGGGGCCCGAAACAACATCATCGAGTGCCTCTGACAGGCGATAAGTGGTTCGATCTGGTCACGG